ATAATACTCTACATTAGAGGGCAAGTTGCCTGCATCATGAATATAATATATTATAAGAGTTATCTGAAGCAGAACTTGTCATTCTTACATTTCTGGATGACAGGCATCCTTTAATGCATCACAGAGCAGTTTTGCCCTCACATCGTATGACAGTTAGTCAAATTATATATCAAAGGCAACATGATGGACTTTTGTAATTACATTTGTTTGAGAATTAACACTGTCAAATTTATATACAGAAGTGTAAAGGGGCTTTGCAATAGTCCATTAAAAATGAGAATTGTGGGGGAGGGGGGGGGGAGTTGTTTCCTTTTAGATAGTTTTTATTAAAGTTTTACAATTCTACAAACAATAATAACAATAAAAATGTGAAAAAAAATTGAGAAAAAGAGAGGAAAGAAAAAAGAGAGGGGGGAATCCATCCAAATAATCACACGTTATATATATGATTGTTTACTAATACGTAAAATAATCATTTAGGATATATTTATAAAAATAATTGTAACAAGATGATGTAACAACAGGTAACATGGTATGGATAAATAATTCAACTTTACAGGCGGTATGTTTTTCTCACGGTGTCTTCCCACACAGTCCAATGATATTTAAGCTGGTCTAATAATGGTGAAGGCTATCTAAGAGCCATCTTGTATGTTTTGTTTTCAAAAGTTAAATAAAGAACCTCTCTGACAGATGGTATAATGGGTGATTTCCAGTAACGTGGCTTAGAAAATGGATTATTATAATCCTATCGACCTTACTAGTAGTTTCTAGAAATTGTTTGAATAAACAGGATTGAGATATAATTGTAATGTTGTCCTTTTTATTTTCCAGTTATATGTCTAAGCATCAATTTTGTGAAAAGTAGCATATTAACAGTACAGTTTTCTCTACACAGCAATGGTGCCACATTGGGAGAGATTTACAAAGGCAAAACAACCTTTTTTGAATACAAAATGCTAAATGCTGTGATATTCTATTAGTTTAGATGGTAATTAGTTATTTTTTCCACTTTACTGGGAGTAGCACCTGTTTTTGCCTTGATACATATATCTTTAGAGGCATATTAGTTTCTGAACAGTTAATGTATATATCGACACGGTCGGTATTTGTGTTTAACCCATTAGCAATACAAGTCTCTTTTTGTAGACTTAGGGATTACGTTTCAAATTCAGAAACAAAAAGTATCAAATCTCAACGCATAAATGTTTCTTCTTACTGTATTTCCATATTAATTGTTCTAACTGTTACAAATATGAACTTTAATTGGTTTTTGAAAACTTTTTGTACTGTGCTAATTAAGTCCATAAGGTACTCTTAAAGGTTTTGGCTCTGACCTTCTGTCGTCTCCTTGTCTGCATACACACTGGTTAATTCATTCAGAATATGCCCTTTCTGTATAGAATATCTCTTAATGGGATACTTTTTAAGTTTGCAATCCATTTCCTTTTCTATTTCTTTGTGTTTAAATTGAAGATTCTTTTCTTCAAAATAGTTTTTTTTTCTTTTCTGTGGTGGTTGGAAGGAAGTTATAAAAAAAATGGAAAATCTATATGGGCCATTACAGAAGGTTACATATCTATAATTAAATCAATCCTGTCTGACATCTGGATTTCATTTCAATGTTTCATTATCCTTTATATGTTGGTTGTGATTAAAACTGGACAAAATATTCTGGCATGAATAATCTAGAATTTTAAAAGTCACGCAACTGTCGTGTGTTATGTTTTTGGTTATAAAAACTATTGGTTGTGTTAGTAGAAAATACAATATCACAACATTTAAACATAAATAGAACTGAAATAATGGTTAGAATAAAATTTGTAATAAACTGGCTTGATGGGATCCTGGATAATAATAGTAATGTATTTACACTCAGGCGTAATAATCATCATTAGGTTATATTCTGTGGTGGTGGAAGAAAATAGACAATCATTTTACCACTTAATCTACAACATTTTTTAATAATTATAACGTAGTGAGACATAGCCATAATGTTTCATTGCATACTACATATGGTTGAGTGCTTGAGAGTGGTTCTTCAGTAATACAATTAACTGCTATTTCTATTTTAGTGAATTAAATGTCAGATTTTTTAAAATTTTCAAAATCAGAAAAACGCAACACTTCATATACAATGTTTTTTTTAAAGTGCATAGCTAAACAGAATGATAGTTTCCAAACATCAATAGAGTTTACAAAACAGAGATATTAAAAAAAGTAAAATGCAAAAGTTGAAAAGAGATTACCCTGGACTTTTTCTCTCTGCTCAGCATTGTCTATCAAATCAGGATTATGCACAAAATGATGCAGCTATAATTCTGCTCCCTGGATCTTTGCGTTCTGAGTCCAAGATGCATCCACCTTGAGTTTACCACCAAATAAGGACACATATCTCCCCCATCCCCTGGAGACAAGCTATGATTGTGTGCATGCCCCTTCAGTGGGTCAGAGTATTATTATATACAACCTAGCTTACAGTAATGCAAATGGAGCTGTATATAAATTAAAATAAGGGGCAATGATTGCTATCAACCTAATGAGCAATTCCTGTTATCCTACCTGAGTAGTGGACAAGCAGATGGATGGTAAACTGCATATCCCATAAATTCCTTTTGTACAACGGACTATGAAAAGAAGCATAGATCACAATGAGAGATTCATGATTGTTGGATCTTCATCTTGGTCAGGGAGGGTTTTGCCATCTAGAACACTCACCTATGCAAGTGCTATAGTTTATGTAATTCTGAACTTTTTTAAAAATGTATTATTGTGGCTTATATTTTTTCATATTTGTAATCATTATCTATATAATCCATCTAAAATGTAGAGTGAGTAATTACCTTCTCACAAGAGTTAATCTCCTACCTATAGTTGTCCTTTGGATATATTGTATAAACCTAATCATGAGATTAACAATGAAATATTGGTTTAGGTCTGGTTTTTAGATGATAAAATTTTTCAACTTTAGGTGCAGTACTAGCGGAAAAAGGTTCACATTTAAAAGGTTAACGGTGTATTATGTTAATTTTGAAAATGGTAATGCAACACCAGGTTAATGTCAAACATATTACCAATCATTTAATTATTAGATTGTCATTTTTCCCTAGTTTCTTTTATCTCTTAGTTTGTGGATTACTATTCTGTTATTTTGTAGAGTCTCTATACCTATTTACAGATGGATGGATGGATAGATAGATAGAGAGATAGAGAGATAGTAGACTTGGAGATTATTTTCGGTACAAACTGCAGTTCTTTTAAATTTGGGCTGACTGAGTGATCGACTGAATTCCTGACCTCCTAGCCAAAATGTACCTGAATCATAAACCAATCAAAATGTGTAACGGCTGTGCATGTTTATTTTGGCTCATGACTCTGAATCATCTTTTTTCAGTGGCACCAAAAAAAAAAAATGGTTGATGGGAAAAAAGAAGATTGATGTCTAGGGAACAGTCATTACATGTTTATTTTTATTTTTTATAAATCTTTATTTTTGTGTGCATAAGATTAACATTTATTCATACTATGCCCCAACAGTAGTGGCAAGACAGAGAACTTAAAGCATAACAAAGGTCAAGGCAAACGAGTATACTGCACAATTTTTTAGGTGATATGAGGTACAAGCTATATCTAACATGTCTAGGTGGGGTATAAAGAGTAGGCGTACGTTTCTCATATAACGAACTGGTTCCTAGACATGTAGCTAAAGGAAGTAAAGTAATTTGTGAACATAACATACGCTTGCCTGCAATGTCACGTCAGTATTCACCTGTAGTTTGGAAAAAGATATTAGTTAACATTTGCATGGCATGCATAGTAACGCACAATTTTTAGTTTATAAGACAAGCTTAATACAGGCTATTAAGTTACATCTAATATGTTGCTTTACAATATGGTTGTCATGCTTAAAACTCAAGACATATAGTGCTTCTTAGTAAAGGCATTCACAACTTTTATGCTCAAGAAAGATAAACCAGATGTACTGAGTCAAATATAAGGTGCTTAAGGTAGAGTTACAAAAGAAATACCAAAAAGCAGCTCAACACTCATGTAGGTACCTCTAACCTAACACAATAACATGCAACCGAAATAGTGGAGTATTGTTTGAGTGGAGAAAACCAACCAACCATAAAGTAAAAAATACAGAATACCATAAGTATTATAATCGATTGAGAAAGCCTGTTGATTCAGGCGAAACACGTCTCTGACAATTTTGGACGGCATATTTTCTATTTTGGGACTATAATACTTATGGTATTCTGTATTTTTTACTTTATTTTTATATATCCATTATTTTGGTAAATAAATTATTTTTAATCTATTTCCAAGTGCCATATGTTGCTGTTGTCCTCTGCTAAAAGAAGAGTTGTGCCCTCTTAAAGGCACAGTGCGCATTACCCTGAGAGCCCAGTCATTTGGCTCTCAACAAGGTGAGCAGTGATTGGTATATTGTATTCACTCTTATAGTGAGGGTAATTCACTATATTTGTTTTATCTCTCCTATCTATCTACTCTACATCTCCACACAGAAGAAGTTTTGGTATAAACTTAAAATACCTCTGCGCAAGTGACTTGAGCCTATCCCTATAAGGCTCAGCACCATGTTGTTTTATGTACTTAGACATTCTACACCATATTCTGTCTATTTCTCCCATTTAGACATTCTGTTTTATTCATTCCCTTATTTAGCGCTCCACTGGGCTTTCGTTGGTTGTGGTTGGTTTTCTCCACTCAAACAATACTCCACAACTTTTATGCTACCCAGTCATGCTAAATATGATGAGAGTGTGTCATGGTAAGAGCCGCTTTTCTGAGCAAGAGATTTCAGACAGATTAGTAATATGAACATGCGCAGATATTGTGTAGGGGTAATGACAAGGGCTGCTAGATGGGTTGCTTGCGCATCTTCCATTGGGTCGTGGCTGTATGTGGCAGCAGTTCTTTGTGAGAACGTGGCTTTCAGTCGACTCCCTGGATTGGTAGTCCCTTTGTGTCCATGTTTAGTCCTCTGTTCCCTCTTCGTCTCTCCAGGTGACTCGTCTGCAGGGGGTATGTGCACTGTCCTGCTGCCGGCTGGAGGGTCTGCGGGGTCCATGTTCCCTGCATCTTTGGCCCAAAGCCTGTGCGGGCACCTCTGCCTGTATTTCATTGATCCCTTCTCCAGGATTGTGGGCCCCTGGGTCTGCTGGGTCGCAGAGATACCCCGAGGTGTATGGACAGCTGTGGGGGGCCACCACCACTTGGGTCCTCAGCTTGGAAGAAGAGCAGGAATGGATTCCTGCATTTTCCCTCCCGCGTGATGCAGGGGGTGCGGGTGGGAGTGTGTCGTGCTGTGGGGTGAGTCCTGAATTAGGCATTAATTTAACCGCTGTAGGTGCATTTTGGGGCTCTGAGGCAACAGGGGTCAGTTTCACCTGAGGTCTGCGTTTGAGTCGCTCCCAAAAGTCCTGACACATTGCCTCAAATCTGGCATTGAATGAAATCATCCACTCCTGTACCCCCAAGCCGGCTTGTGGCTGTAGTTTTCCCTGGGCGGCAGCCATTTTAGGTGAGCCTCTTGGGCCTTGCTCGGGCTGTCTGGGCGGCGTTGTGAGGTTGCCGTACTTTCCGTATGGACCGGGGGGGGGGGAATGGGTGTTTTGTGGTTTACCCGCGGCCCCCGGCTGGAGGAACGGCCGTTTACACCCTCCATGGGACTTGCCTGGTGGACAGGTCATGGGTGCTGTGTCTGTCCGCTGTCCGGAGCGTGTGTCTCCAGGTTCGGATCGGAGCTCTCCCCTGTCATTAGAGGCATTGCGGTACCCGGCTGGGTGCGTTTTGGGGATGGCATTGTAGTTAATATTGTCGATGTCCACGGCTGTTGTACGGAGCTCATGGCAGACACGTCTAGTGATGGTCAGGCCCAGCCCCCTACATGTTGATTTTATTATATAATTCTACATTTATATATACAAATAGAGAGAGATTTTTTTCACTGCTCTTCCTCTTTTTCCTCTTTTTCCTTCTTTTAGTCACTTTGATCTCATTTGATCTGTGAACCAAGGGAAACTGCTAATATCAATGTTCTGAAAAATGTACACTTGTTATTATATATTGTATATATTTTGCAATACAATGATTGACCCATTTTGCACCCTTTTGGTTAGTCTGATTCACTTCCCAAATCAGTTTTTTGGTACCGAAATTCTGCTGAGCAGAACCAACATGTGGCAGAATAATTCAGTAGAAATGGTTCGGCCAAGTGGAATTTTCTTTTTGTGCACAGTTCAGTTAGATGGATAGACAGACAGACAGATAAACAGACAAATAGTACAAGACGTAGATAGATAGAATGACAGACAGTTTGAGATGTATGAATATTTATGTTTATATCTATTTGTAAATATCTATATTTTTTTATATTTTTTTATTTATATGTAATTTAAAGGGACGCTATAGTCGCCAAGACAGCTTAATTAGCTTAATTAAACACTTTTGATGTATAGATCATGCTCCTGCAGTCTTACTACTCAATTCTCTGCTATTTAGGTGCTAAATCTCTTTATTTATGCAGCCCTAGTCCTACCTCCCTGCATGTGACTTGCACAGTTTTCCTAAACACTTCCTGTAAAGAGTAATCTAATGTTTACACGTCCTTTTATTGCAAATTCTATTTAATCTAGAATTTCTCATCTCTGTTAAAAATTTCCTAGACCCCACAGGAGCCTCCTGTATGTAATAAGTTATATTTACACAGCAGGAAAAAAAATCTTTTAAAGTAAGTTGCATCTGATTGATAGTAAAACCTTTTTTTTGTGTAGTCTGTGTGAGTCACAACCAGGAGAGGTATGGCATGGGCTGTATACAGAAACAAATGTGATTTAACTTCTAAATGGCAGTGAATTGAGCAGTGAAACTTCAGAGGCATGATCTATACACCAAAACTACATTTTAAGCTAAAGTTGTTTTGGTGACTATAGTGTCCATTTAAATATAGATAACACTATTCAAAGTAGCAATATTATTTTGGATTTATGGACATATACTATATTGCGTCACCACCACAAAGGGTAAGAACATGTATATTTCATTTTATTAGTTATACTCAGTTCTATCTTATTAGATATTTTCTTTCTATTTCTTTGTTGTTGTTTTATGTGTGTTTGTATATTTACATGATATTTCCTGGAAGTACCAGGAATGTAAGAAATAAAATAAAGGCAAAGGTAAAAATAAATATAACTTCATTTAGGAATGAAGGTTTCTACATTCAAAGTAAGAACGTAGATTTTATTGGACTTTTTACAAAAGGAGATCTTATATCACCATGTTAATGGCTAGTTTGGATGGCAGTCAAAAAACAATCTGTAGAGTGAAAATACTCTACAAAGCAGCATAATTGTTCAAATGAGATATAAAAAATACCCTTATCTTAATGGAAAAAAATGTCAAAAGCTATAAAAATGACACATCAGCATATGGATCTTACACCTTCTTGGATGCATAAAAGTCATGAATAGAAAATAAACGTGAGCTTTCTTAATGCCCTGACTGTAAAAGAACTAAAATACCCAATGACAATCATTGTGTAGCTAAAGAATTTTTGAATGCAACCACTGCCAGTATTGGGCTCCAAGGAATCCTCCTAATAACAGAGCAACTCACTGAATATTTTATAGAACATTCCTTATTGCCACTTTCTGGTTTCTATTAGTAAGATGTAAAGTATAAATATCAAAAGAAATATCAGAATTCACGTTGTAGTTTGCTTAAGTTATTAGTGTCTAGTGGTTTTCGCTATGAAAATGGCAATCGGTCAAGACCATTGTTTTATCGTGCTGACTGAGATATCATTTTTACCAAACAATGTCAAGTTAACCAATGAAAGATTTTACATGCTGTTAAATTCTGGAAAATCCTTGAATAATCTGTCATGCTCTACATATTGTATTTGGTGATTTATCTTGATAGATGTATAAAGAAAAGGAAAATAAAAAATTAGATAAAGTGATGCCATTATCCACAAGATAAATAAAACAAATAATTAATCAGGATATATTTATTCAGCAGGACATAATTTAGGTTGAGTGAAAGAATGTATCAAGATGTGTCAGCAAGCAGAACTTGAATCTATAGCTATCCATTATAAAGTAGAATAACAAGATAAATGCACATTACAGGTCCTTAGGAAGGCCTGGCTTAACACTGTGCTTATAGTTGGATTAAAAGACAAAATAGTGGCCAGTAAACAAGTCAAGGTAAGGAATAAAGAAATTATAAAAACAATACGTTCATTATAGTCAAGGGGAGCCAAATAACAAAGAAAACCTGGCAAATGAGGTCAAATACCAAAAAGATTACAGAAAATAAGAACACAACATTCTCCTGTAGCAGATCCTTTCAATTGAACAATCAGGCTTTTAGCTTGTTCCCCTTTAAGGCCATTGTTATGAGTCTGCTGATTACAAGGTTTTTCCCACTATGAGTACCTATCTATTGGTTTAATCTATCTAGGTTTCTATCAAGATTTTAATAAAGTCCACTGGTAGGACGAAACTCGTCGACCATTACTTTGTTCCACTCAGCATAATGCAGTTGTACCCCTTAACCTTCTGACTTTATTAAACTTCAGGAGATTATTGGACTTTGCAGTCACACTATTCAGTCTGCACGTCTCCTTTAGTTAGAGAGATCAGAAGGGCTCTGGACACTTCCTCCATCTGGCAGCTGGAGCTGAGTGATTCTCCATCTATTCTAACCTGACACTTGGCAGTATTTGTCCCATGAGGTTTGCACTTGCTGGACGTCGGGTTTATTCTCTTCTTACAGCTGCCTTTTAAGCTTTTAGTACCCCAAATACATTGTTTATCTAGTTGTTATAAACAGTTGCTATTATCAAATTATTCACTGCTAGCAATTTTGGGCATTTAGTGACTAAATTCAGTGTGTGATTATATTTTAAGATTAAAGTTATTTTTTATATTAATTTATTTAATTGAATTTGCATAGTTTGTGTTTCTTAATTTGAAGGATTCATAGATTCACATATTTAAAAAAAATCTTTAAATTTCACACTTTAGTGCCTTTTGGCTTTGTAATTGTTCAGTGTTCACACTTCTAGGCTCTTTTTATTAGAGTTGCTGTTTATTTTTCATTAATAAATTTATATATGTGCTTCACGCTATTGGGAATTCGAGAAAAAACAAAACAGAATGGAGCAGTAGCTCACAGGTACAGTGTGAAATTGCCTATTTTGGGAATCTAATTTTTTATTTTATATTTTGCTTCAATACGATATAATAATCATGATTTGTTTTCAGTAAAGAAGGTTAATAGAATATATAATGCGCCATAACCACTACTTCATGTTGTAGTGGCCATGGTGCATTACCAATTAGATATAGTAATTACAGTTCATTGAGTGAACTTTTAAATGTATTCATAGAATATGAAAGATTTATTTTAGGTAAAGACCTTTGCTGAGCAATATAAGAACAGGATCCCCTTAACCAAGTGAGCATGTGATGACCTTGTAAAGAGTGAGTGTGTAAGTAAATAACACACTCATGGCACTCCCCACTCCTAGATTTGGGTCCTCAAACTCTTCCAAAGCTTATCTTTATGGTGCGGAGATAAGGGTATCTTACTATGCCAGGAAGCAGTTCTGTCCAGATATATTCTAAGACATCACACCAAGTCCAGAGAAGAGAAATCCACTTCTTCGCCATTTTCTTTAACCTCCAGATGTAAGGCTGTAAGCACTACTTTACAAAAAAAATCCAACTGGAGGGGAGAGAAAGTCGAATAAAGAAAGTAAACTAAAAGAGAGCCTGGCAAATTTCTGAATACATTATTTGTCCCAAAACTGGGAGTTTCATGATATAAATAACAAATATACAGTAGATTCCATGTCTGAATTCCTTTAGGTAGTAAAATTCTACTTTCAGGATGTCAATGTAGGCACAACTTTATTGCTGCAAATATATAAAAAGTGAATGACTTTATTTTGTATTTTAAAGTGCTCTCCTTTGTAAAGATGACCATTGAATAAAGTGGCATATCTCATAATTTAAGAAAACTGAAAATATATATGGTAACGATGTTTGTGTTAGTTCTTTGCCTGATTTTTGTGTTGGTTCTACAGTGAAAACACTACTTTGCTCTTTGCAATATTACCTCTAGAACACATTCTCTACCTTAGCACTTCTGAAATGATCTTGGAGTTCCTTAATATCCATGAATTATAAAGTTAATATTATTTGATGGGAAATGAGATATCAGAGGTACTTGTAGAATGAACATATTATTGGTAAAAACAGTTGTTTGTAGTATTTTGTTAGAAAAAAGTAGAGGAACATTAAACTATGATGTAAATTATATATTACATTTGTGGGTTTTGATGTGCCTTTTGGCCTTTTAGTGGTTTTATGCAAAAAAAATTTTGAGAGAATGGACATGTTTTCTAACCAAATTTAACATTTCTTTTTTTCCATAAACAAAATAATTTATAATTAAAAACTTTAATGCACTCCACTGAGGTTTTGCTACAAAATAACACATTTCCCACAGAAGCATCTCAAATTTAAAGTTTACTGTTAAAATATGTCCATTTTGTTTGTGCTGCAGTTACATAATGTAGTCTAACAAATCAATAGTAAAAATTATTATTGTTTTTATTATCATTAGCCTTTATATAGCCCCACCATTTTTCATAGCAATTTGCAATTATATAATGGGATTATTTAACAACGGAAATTGACAGTGAAGAATGTCCTACTTAAAAGAACTTACAGGTTAGGAGAAAAGGATAAAGGAACCAAAAAGGAAGGACATCATGACAGAAGGCATGGCAGTAGATAGGATGTCAGTGTAGAGTCAAGTTTCATGTGCGAAATAATCAAAGAATGAAAGGTGAGAAAAGTAAAAGAACT